GACCTACATACTGTTGAGTCTATGTTTCTTTGAAAGGTATCTGTTAAGTCCTGCTAGGTGATTGACAAGACTAAGTAGGGAGAATAAAGGTAAATGTGATTCATGTTTTGCACACAAATGTAGAATTTTATAACCACATGACTTCATAGTTGTGATCTCAAAAAAGGAATTTCTCCTTTAATTTTTCTTGCAGTTAATGTAAGAATACTCTAAATCTCTTAAGTTTCTGAAGTGTGAGAGTTAGAGATGGTCTAGTAAAGATGTAGTAGGAATGTTTATCCATTTAGCATGTGTTTATTTTTCCTTATGTACTCAAGGTGATTTATTTGTTCAGCTCAGTGATATTACAGCTAAAAAACATTCATTAGCAAAAGGAGAAGCAGTCTACACCTAACAGAGGAATCAGAAATGTTTCTTATTTTTGTTGAGTTGAATACAAAACATAAGTTCCTTAAAGATTCTTCATAATTGTATTATAGAAGAATTTAGTATGTCATAAATAGTTAATTTGACATTGAACTGTAGTAGCCATATGTTGTTTGATTTCCTTATGAGCACCATGATGGAAAATGAATTTGAGAAAAATTGGAAGAAATTAGATTATCGGGTAATGTTAAATTGTTAATGTATCTTGCTTAAATTTTTGTTCATTAATTTATATCCATCTGATTATATAAAGTAAAAAAAAAAATCTCCAGTATTAACCATAAATGCACTTCATAAGGGATTATGGCCTAATTCATTCCAAAGAGCTCTTTGGAATGAATTAGGCTATAATCCCTCATGAAATGCATTATCATATTGGGGATTCATTTCTCAAGTTATGAATTGAATAAAGTGAGGGATGAGGTGATACATCAAGCAGATTTTAGCACCAGATCTTGCTGAGGGCCATTGCCAAGTAGGAATGATGCATCGATATTTCCTTGCCAGCGTACCCCATGTTAAATGGACTTGCCTTGGACATTGCATGTGTCTTTGAGAAAGGTGACCCTGCTCAAGAACCAGGGTGGATCCAGGATTAGGGTGTATCCTGCAGGTTTTAGGAAGTAACCGGGTTTAAGACAATTTGGGTTTAGGGCATTCCAGGTTTAAGACAAGTTTAGGGTGTTCCTGGTTTAAGATAATCCTGGTGTAGGGAAGTTGCAGGTTATTCCTGCTGGGAGTAGGGCGTGCCTGCTGCCTGAGTTCCTGCTGTGTTCTCATGAGATTCAAATGGGATTTGGAAAACAGCCTCATGGAGTAGGTGAATTGTGTGGGCAGATTTGGGATTTCCCCTGAACATGTGTGGAGGCTGGTGTGAGTTCCGGAATAAAGAATTGCTGTTTGAAGCTGTGGTGGCTCGTGATTCTGTGCCAAGCCGAGACATTGGCAAGATCTAAAACCAAGTCTCATTTCCCATTTTTAACTTGCGTTTTGGAAGTACTCCTAATCCCAAGCATTCTACCCCATAGGCAGAGTTCAGGAGGGAAAAGGGTTACAACCAAATCATGTTGTGATAGTCTAGGTATTGTGTGGACAACCCTGCTAAAGCCAGAAGAAAAATGTCTACTTTCCGTGTCTTGTATGGAGCATGACTTCTTATTACAGACACTAACATATAATTGTTGTTGTTGTTCATCTCATTAACTGAGCTTTTTAATGGGATTTTCATTCAGGATTGAAGCAAGCACCACCCAGGTCCCCAGTCTGTGGTTGGAAACTCACTGGAGGCCAGAGGAGTTTGAGAACACCAAAGCTGCTGCCTGCTGAGTCCCACATGCTTGGTGGTACCTGGTGTGAGGCCCACAACACCATGGAGCAGCACTTTCCCTGCTGTGTGCCACAGGGAGGGCATTCTGCAGACCAGGTGCCAGTTCTTCAGAGGCCTCCAACCCTGAGCTCAATATATCCTGGGCCCTTGCAGGTGCCCTTCTATATCCAAGTGCCAGATATTTCCTATGACTGCCAAGACTTCCACATTGACCTGCATCCCACACCCCAAGGAAGTTATTTCTGGCATTGGTCCTGGAGAGATGACTTTCCCAGTGCACACAGCACCTTGCACCATGACACAGAGCCTCCTGTCCTGGACTCAGGTTCTACAACTCAGAGGAAGACCCAGGCCCCCCCAGGAAAGTCAGGGGTCTCCAAGGTGCCCCACCATCGGCCACCGGCTGAGGCTCCCTTGTGTTCCAGGTGCTCGGGTGCCAGAGGTCTAGAGCCCAAAACCTCTGGTGGTGGTGACCCTTACAAGGGTCCTCTTCCCTCTGGTCACCC